TACCTACTTCATATGATGTAGGTATTTTAATAATACCTTTCAAAATGTAGGTATTTTGTGAGAATTCAAAGAATGAATACACATAAGGCACTTAGATTAGGGCCTGACATACATTAAGTTCTTACTTAATTTTAGCTCTTTTAATTACAGAGAAAGCAGAGGATAAACTGCATTACTGACTGTTGCCAACAACATTGTTGCCAGAATGTCTGGCATCTGGTATCTCTTAAACCCTTCTTTTCAATGAATAAAGACTCTTCCTGAAGAAGTACTTCTAATTAGCAGGTGAGAAGAAGAAGAACCAACAAAAGAATTCCAGGTAAAGGTGAGCAGTAACAGTTTCTAAAACTGAAGGAAGTTCAAAGGAGTGTAATCACTGAGGGAGAAAGGCACTGAGTTCTATAGACAGTGTATTAAAGCAACTTGCTTTCCCTGGAAATTATATTAGGAAAATGGATCATAGTAATAAAATATAAACAGACCCCAAATCTCCAGTTAAATTAAATTGATTAAACAAATTTCTCATTAGGAAAGAGTAATAAGTTTATCACAATAAAATTTTGTGATATGATATAAATATAGCTCGAATATATTTTAGATGTGCCTAAAGGCCATTACAAATGATTTTACAAAAAAGGGGAAGAATTGGAGGCATGGCAGTCATTAGATCACACACGGGTACATATTGGGGGTGAGGAATGTCCCTTGATAGTCACTATTTATGCTCTCTGAGGTAGCTACTCATGACTTTTGTGTACATAACTCTTTGTTCACTCCCTTTTTCATTATTTTTGACCACATTTGAAAATGGCATTGGAGAATATGCCTTGAGATGGTGGGAGCTGTGCAGTTTCCTTAGCCTGTTCCCATGGAAAATAAGTCCCAAGAGCTGATTTAAGCACTTTTTTGCCTACAAACTTAATTGTCATACCTTTGAATGACAATAGCTCTGATGGCCATTCCAGAAAAAGAGTTCCAAAATTGCTTTGAAGTGTGGACTAGGTGCTGGCATTGTTGCATAGCTTCCCAAGAAGAGTACTTTGAAAGTGACCATAATGATATTCAGCAATGAGATATGTAGCACATTTTCTAGGATGAGTTCACAACTTAATTGTCTGACCTTGCAGAATGGCATCCAATAACATTGGATATTTTATTCCTAAGCAGCTTAAAGAATCTAGACTTGAATCTTAAGAATTAATGAAAATCCTGGGATAATGAAAAGGCCTCAGAATATCTGGATTACACATATGTATATCAAATCATTTAAAGAATGACAGAGAACCTTTCTTTCATATTCATTTCTTCATGTATATTTAGAACTTAATGTTGTTATTATTTTTTAAATCAATAAATGTATGCTAATACTATATCACATCTTCTTGGAAAAGGAAGACATCACTACTCTCAAATCAACAAATGAATGACTCAGGTATCACTAATTTTCTTTGATAATAACTTGCTGAAAACTAAAAAATAAGCACAGTTTCAAAACTATTATATCAACTCAGCACTATTATCACTCATTAAGCTATTCCATAATTGGAAAAAATTAAAATAACCCTAAATATTAAGTATATTTAGATTATTGCGCAGGAGAACTGATTCTGACCATCAAGCCAATGTCTTTTTAGTCCCATTAGCTAAATAATTTGATTGTGAACTATAATCAAAATATAAACTACATTAAGGTAAATACAGTATATTCTTAGTTCCAAAAATATTGTTTCCTGTCAAAATGATAAGGACACGTATCAAACTTGAATGACTACGTTTGCATACAAAGACTGTGCCACCCATTACAAACTATTCCATTTTAAATACTAACCAATATCCTTCAACAATATTAATATACCACCAAATTGCTTTCTTTTTTTAAATTACTTTCTTTGTAGAACAAAGACATGCACTTTAAAGCTTGTAAAGTGACTAATTCTTAATGTTGTCAAATTAAGTTAAGCAATTTAACACAATTACTGAATGTACTGACTTCTTAAAAAATTGCAGCAATTAAAGAAACTGTTTCACTGTCTTTGACAATGTACATAAAAACTTGGTTTCAGCCAAGTTATTTGGGCAGGTGGTTTTTTCCCCCCCAGAATTCTGGTCACCATCCCTGAAGTCCAATCCAAGTTTTTGTTCATAAGTTGCATTTATACAAATTGAATAAAAACATTACTATTATAAAATTGGATCTCCCCTCTCTGTGATTTTGAGTTCATATTGTTAAAGTACTGTACATTCTTATTTTGCTTATAGCCACCACTGTCAATTATAATAAAGGGTACTCTTACTATAGACAAAATAACATTGTTCTGAGTGGGGCAGCTTTCAGATTTGTCCATTGCCTGGATAGGCCCTATACCACACTTGCTACTGAACAACCAACTATAAGAACTTGTTAGAAGTTAGGAGGGTAAGGAGATAATGTTTGGCCTTAGGCTATTATACTTTTAGTTTAGGAAGTGAGGACGTTGAAGTAAATGATGTTTCCTTCCACCTTTAAATCGAATAAACAAGTGATAAGAAATAAAAACCCCTGAGTAAAATGACATGCTGATACAGTGCAATTAAACATTTTCAACTCTGCAGCTAGTTTTTTCATCAACAAATTGAGGTTATTAGTTCACTCTTTAGTTGAAGACAAATAACAAAACATCAGTTAATTCAGATAATCATAGCGGTAGAATAGAAATAAAATAGGGCAAAGTTGTGAATTTTACTTCAACTATGGTGTCAAAATACACTTTCTAGACACCCAAGTTGATCGTTAGAAATCTTAAATGTCCCCTAGATTCTTCTTGTATTCTTATTGTACTGTTTGCTATTTGTATAGTATTTGTCAAAAACTGCTTGTATTATAATGCAAATGACCATTTGAGATAAGAAAAAAAAAGATATCTACATCACCACATGAACTCCTTGGAAAGTGAGAATGTTTCCTTATTTGGAAAAAAATGGTCTTTGGAGATGTGATTAAGGATCTTGAAATAGAGAGATTACCTTGGATTATCCAAGTGAGTCCTAAATGCTAACATAAGCTTCTGTGTAAGAGACACAGAAAAAATAAACACAGAAGAGGAGGACCATGGAGGTGAGGCAGAGATTAGAGAGATTCAGCCACAAGTCAAAGGATGCCAACAACGACTAGAAACTGTAAGAGTCAAAAAACAGATTATCCTCTAGAGCCTTCAGAGGGAGTGTGGTCCTGTGGTTTTGGACTTCTGGCTGCCAGAACTATGAGAAAATAAACTTCCATTAGTTTAAGCCACTCTGTGGTAATTTGTTACAACAGCTAAAGGAAACTAATATGCCCTTCCAATGTTATTTCCTATCACTGAATTCATGGCAATTATCACAAGTGGTAATTATTTGCTAGTTCATTTATCATCTATCTCTACCAACATGCGAGCTCCTTTATGTGGGCAGGGGGCTTCACTGTATACCCAGTATCTTAGCATGGTAATGGTATCTAGAGCCTATTATGTTCTTTGAAACTTCTGTTAAATAAAATGAATAAATGTACCCCATATGTAAGTCTTATAAGACAAGAGACCATGTCTATTAATCATAATTTCCAAAGCTTCCAGCATAGGGCCTTGCAAAAAACTGTTATGGAACTAACTTTGAGCTCTAGCAATCAGGAAGTCTAAATTTTAGACCTTCTACTGCAATTTACAGATGTGCCATGGCCATAGCCCCACCTCTATCTTCTATATATCTATTATCAGGCTCCACATGTGTAAGAGGGTTTGAGCTGTTCATCTTAGAGCTGGTAAGGAGTCGATCCAGATCTCATTCATTTTCACATCCTTTACGCGATCTATAGTGGTTGGTAAACAGTAGGGACAATATTGAGGTTTTGGGATAAAGTAGAATGATACCCAGCTTTAGTGCCAGCCATAAATGAAATTTAACATTGCATCTTTGAGGAAATTCCTAATCAACTCTGAATCTCAATATTGGCAACTGAATGGAGTTTAACTCTTATCTCATAGAATTATGAACCTATGAATCACTGGGCCTGTAGTAGGGACTCCATGAGTGGTAAGTGCTTATTATTAACCTACTGGCTTAATCCAGCCAGGAGTGTACCATTAGACGAGAGTTCCCAATTAGTGCCACACCACTTACGAGCCACATGAAAGTGGGCAAACTAACCTTTCTAAAACATAGTTCCGTGGGCTCAAGTCTACAATTCTGTAGACTCAGCTAATTCTGACCAAGCACACTCCCTGGTTAAATATTCTGGACAATTCTTCATTTATTTTCTTTTGTGCCATAAAGCTAGAATAACCTTGAGGCTTACAGCTATCCTGAAATACCTCCATGTTCCACTCTCATTAAATATTTTCTGGAAAAAAAAAAAGTTGGCAAATATACTTTCCATGTAAGAAGTGGTTCTGACCTAGAAACAAAATAAAATAACTGAATAGTTACAAGCAAGAGTGCGTGTCTCAATAACGTGATATTAAGCAAAAACCCTTGGATTATTAACATGTACAGTCATCTTAATGTTCCCACTTCCTAGGGCCTTCTGAAACAATGAAAAGGTCCTGCAGACCCTTCTACTGACTCAACGAACCCGAGTTTGAAAACCTTCGAACCAAAAGCCACACGAGGGTTCCGCGAGCTCATGATTCTATCCCCTTCAGCTAGTTATCAGCAACTAGCTTCTCTATTTACCAGTGTATAAAACAAGAAGAGACCAAGCCGACGGGACAGGTACTCTAGAGAGTCCAGTACCTGGGTGAGCTCTTAAAACAGCTAAGGTTAAGCTTTTTCGCTGACTGAGGTCAAAACGTAAAGAAGCGCGTGTCACAGGTTGGACCTTCCACCCTTTCTCCAAGATTCCCGCGGTTGCCTGGGCAACACGGCGTTACCGCGTAGCCACAGGCGCGGGTCCGCGAGATCAGATAGCGCCACGCGCAGGCGCGTCGTGGGAGCCAATGGGTGCGGCCGGAACTCCGGCGGCTCCGAGCCCCGCCCCTTTCCAACCCGATTCGAGGGTGGGGCGGCAGCGGGAGCGCGACCGGTTTCCTAGGGCGGCGGGCGGTTGTTGGTGGCTTCGCTGCTGGGCGCCTCGTCACGTAGGTTATGCACACAGTCCTTCCCCAGGGACGGTCCGGAACCCGCCCAGGCGATTGAGCCTTCTCCAGACCTGGGCACTCCGGAGGCTGGAGTCGCTATGTTTCGGGTCGAGGGCTCGAGGTGTAGCTGACCAGGGGCCATAGGGGCTGCGAAGAGCTTGCCCGAGTCGGGGCCGAGCGCGAAGCCTTTCCCCGCCCTTCGGGCTCCCGGGTTCCCGCCCGCCGATTTCCAGCCGTCAGGGTCACGCCTCTCTCTGGAATCCCTGAACTCTGTGCCCCCCAAGCCCTGGGCCCCCTGCGGGAATGTTCAAAAATGAGTACCAGGTAACCCGAAACGGTTCTCCAACATGTCTATAGCTTTCTCCCCTTGGAGAGGTAGTGATCAGGGTGAGGATAAACCCTCCCCCGACCCCCACTTCCCGATAACACTGTCTTTTGGGGGATAAGAAGGCATTTAAGAATGGATGGTATTGATCCAAAAAGAAAAAAAAAAAAGAGTTACCGAAGTTTAGGCGTATGATTTGGTTTTGCACGTTTCAGCTCCGTGCTTCTCATAGTGTTTGAATTGTCTTGTGATTCCAATTAAAATGCAGACCTCAACCGCAACCCGGACCTGAATCAGAATCTTGAGGGCAGGGTCCAGAAATCTTGAGTTTTAATAAGGGCCTGAGGTACTCACTGTTGATGCACACTGATGTTTCAGAAGCTATTTAGAGGAGTGAATGAGTGTAGGAATGAGTTAAACCAAGAAGCACTTTGGCTGTGTTCTATGGTCTTTTTCTATACTGGGAGTCAGTGAATCTCAGACATGGGGGTACAGCAGTATCATTGGAGTACTTATAAAAATGCAAATTTCCTGACTCACCCCAGATCTAGTGAATCAGAATCTTTAGATGGGGTTAGTTGACTTAACCTTTGAAACATTTTTTCCCCAACTGATTGTAATACACGTGATCCAAGAATCACACTTAGAGACAGTGCTTCTGGATTTTCCTCTGTCACTTTTAACAACCTAGAGTGTCTCCACGCATGACCCGTTTTCCTCACCTCACTGGGCATCTCCTTTCCTTGGCTCTGATCTTCTGCCCCCTGCTGCTTATTTCTCCTTGAAGTTATACTCTCTGTTAAACAGTGCTTACTGGTCTCCACCTTTTTGTTGCTTCTGCTTTTTCACCAAACACTACCTGCCTCCTTATGAATGTCTCAGTGTTCTACAGTTCTTTTTCTTCATCCCATTTATTATCATTAAATGGGTAGAACGATTTTAGAGAGTTTGTGTCACTTCATATCGGTGTATGGTTACAAAGGATCATATGTCTACTGTGGGAAACTTGAAAAACAAAAAGTTTGCTATCTCATCAAGTATGAGGATTTTTCTCTTAAAAAAAAAGTCTCAAATTTGAAATTCCTAATGAAATATGACCTACCTAGATGCTATAGTAATTCTATCCCAAATACAATTTGCACATGATTTTGCCCAAGGAAGAAGAAACTAAATGTCTTAACTTCAAGTCATTGTGTGTTAAAACTCAGAAGCAAAAATATATTATTGGGAAAAAAATAAAAGCTCAAAGTTCTTTAAAGAAATTAGATTTTCTTCTGTGTTGCTTATAATTCAAATCATATTTTGTTTTCATTTTAAATTCTTAATCTTTGCTATTAATTCTTCCTCAGGTAATAATCTTGTTTAATTCTCCTTTTGAAATAATTCTATGGATGTTCAGTAATGTCTTCAGTGTGTTCACATGGGCATGTCCCTGCATGTTCTCAGTTTTACAATGAGAAACAAGTAGCTTGTCTGGAAGGGATTCTCTATTTCTCTTGTACAGATTTTACGAATCTCCAAATTAATTCATATTAAATAGATAAAAATATCATGTAGGAATTCTCAAAGTAAGAACCCCCGCATCCCTCCCAGGCCTTTTTATTGCCCAGTATTAAACTATTTAATTGCTTCTTTGATGGCACTATTGAGCCTGTGCTTGATTGTTAATGTTTACTATCTTATGTAATCTAACAACCCATTTTATAGTTGGAAAATGAAGGACTTAAGTAACTCCAAGGTCAAATACTTAAAAAGGCAGTGTTGGAGCCATAGTCAGTATGAGTAGAAATCTTGCATTTATGGATAATTATTGGAATTTATTGGCCTGATTTGAGAATTAAGTTTAAACCCTTTAGTCTGGTTGCAAAACATAATCTACAAAACACAAATTGTTTTGCGAGGATGATTTGTACAGGTCAAGTAAATGAGCCCCACACTGAGAGATTGTAAGCTTTGTGTGGCATAATTTATTTAATGTTTATCTTGCTTCAAAAATAAATTTCTTAAACCATTAATCCAAGGTGACCCAAATCAGAATGGTTGTGGCTTAGATACAATCAAGCTTTAAAACAGGAATAATAGCAGGGATGATGTTTCATCCCAGATCTACTTAACTGACAGATGCTTGGCACACTGGTTATAGAGTAGGTGGATAATATTTCTGCCTTAGCATTATCTTTCACCTTAATTAAATATTTTATTTTTATTGTTTAGGGAGGTGCATTTGTTGAAATCTTCAGTGCTCAGGGAAAAAATCCTGCAGCAAAATGGAAGATTCTTGGCAGTCCATCTGTGATTTGGAAAGTAAGTGTTAGAAATTAGAGCCACATAAAGAAATGTGAATGAAGGTGATAGAAAAAACGGAACTTGATCAGGTTTTAGAACTGTTTTTCCTGTTCTTTTGCTCCCAGGCCTTTCATGACATTGTTGGCGACAGCTCTCCTAGACATCATTCCTCAGTTGTTTAAGACTTTGGCAGACAGCTCATAACCTTTCTCTGTACTCCATGTCCTTTATCATTTTAGGTGACTTCAGTATCTATGAGGGAAATCTCTTCAAGTCCTGAGCTCAGTTTCTTGATTTCTTCATCTTTTTTGACCTCTTCCACTCTACTTCAGCATTCATTTCCACTCTCTCACCCAGGTCCTTACCACCACAGACTGCAGGACCTTTGAAATTACTAAGTGAGACATGGAGGTGTCCCTCTCTGACCCCAGTCTTTGATTCTTAAGGTCACTTGCTGGGTTACTCCTACTGTGTTTGTTTTTCAGTCTAATTGGGACCTTTGGCTATTCACCATTCTACTTTTTCTTTGTGTTTAGTTCTGTTTATTTATCTTCTTTGCTTTCACTTTCTTTTTTCTCCAGTTCAGAATCCATAGTCCATAACTTTTTTCTCCGGCTCAGAATTCATAGTCCATAATTTCAATCACTTTTTAGTCAAAACCTTTAATGCCCTTGCCCCACCCCTTCATCATATCTCTCTATTGTAGTTCCCAGTAAATCTCAGTGTATCAAGGCCTAAGCCTACTTTTAACTCATTGTAGTGACTTTCTTTCCTGTAGATTGGCACTTCCAACTTAATAGTGGAAACCAAATAAAATAATCTTTGATTACTGCTGTTTTCATTTTGTTTCATAGGAGTTTGATAAAGAAGTTAAAAGTTTTGTGTTTGTCCTGGAAGGCAGCAGCCAAACAAATAAAATTCAGTTACCAAAGGAGAATAAGCAAATCCGTAAGTAAGATTTTAATATTGAAGCTTAATATTTGATACTTAAAGTTACTCTTTTATGTCCATAAATAGGAATATAGTATGAGTTATAGTGACATCTGTTGATGTAAAGTGACATGACTTTTTTTTTTTCTAATTCAAAAGGTACCTGTATGCTAGGCACTATTGTAGCCCTTTTAAAAAATATATTGTATCTTGCAATTTACTAGAAATCTAGAAATATTTTGAGACAATTTAGAAGGTTAGTAATCAATAATTATAGTAATAGTATTTATTGAGCACTTATTGTGTGCCACAAATGTTCCAAGCATTTTACATCTAATCTAATAAGCTAAGGTTGGTTCCTTGATATCAGGTAGTTAAGGCTAAGCTTTGAAATAAACTCAAGAGTTCTTAAATTATACAAAATTAATATGTGAGAACAAAAATTTTAAAAATATTGTAAAGGCATTATTTAGTGACACATAAACTTATATGCCTTTAAGGATATTAGTATCTAATAATATACATATGAATATGTGATTTAACAAAAGTTCAAAGAGTAGATTTCAATTCTTCTTTACCTTAAATATTAAGATCATCATTCTAAAGCGGAAGAAACCTTGAGAGATCAGTTAAATTTAGGGTCAGAAACCAGGTTATTGCCAGAGATGAGGTTAAAATTCAAGGTTCTGCCATTAGATTAGGCTTTGAGTAAACTGATGTGATTCAAGGAATATATCTTATCAATATGGTTAATCAGATTTTTCATCATCTGTACCCTGTTTTAAATACTAATTTCAGATGACCTAGCAAATCTAAGTATACAATTATTTTTTACATTCATCATTTAGTTATTTTTTCTTCATTTATAAAGAACATTTATTGAATACCTAATATGCACCAGACACTATCAAATGACATTCTGTTAGTACCTAATAGTCTAATTTAATTCCGTTTTCTAAACTTACACAAGCTCTATACTTAATGCACAGTTTCAAGTGACTATATGCAGAGTTTAAATTTCTAAGACATAAACTACCCCATGGAAATTATAGATAGAAGATGATTTATTTTAAAGTGGTTTGCTAATGTGCCTTTCTTAAAAAACGAAATATGGAATAGAACTCAGTGAAATGGAAAGAAATAATCATTGTTAAAATAATTTTTATTAATTTAATACCATCTTAAAATCATGGTTTCCTTACAGTTTCTGGGATAGCAGGGTTTTTTTCATTTCTGTATATACTTATAATTGAGTTGCACTTGTCAATATAAGACAAGCCAGGGAAACATGTCTGAAACAGTAGTTTCTTCTTACAAAAGACACAGTCCATCTTTTTAAGGATATTGACTTTATAAGATAACTACATTTAATTTGCAAGAATATGATTTTGTTCTAAGCCAGTGTTAGTTCTTTTGCTTTTGTTTATTTTTTTATTGTTGGACTTTCATTTAATGACCTCATCATCTATTCACATGGTCAAGTTTTTCATGAAATCAGTCACTTTAGTAATCATTCTCCTTTGGCTCTGAGAAAGATTCTTCCTCTACTAAAAGCTAAGTGATTAAATACAAGTTCCTTCTGCCTTTTCTTATCTAAAGTTTTTTTTTTTTTTTTGGAAACCAAGTTTAATGTGTTATAATTACTTTTTAGGAAAGATAATGGTTTTAGTTGTTAAAAAAACAAAAGAATCTTTTAATGTATTTCTTGTACAATGTCCTATAACTGAAAATTAATCAAGCTTCTCTGTAGCATGTGTAGTACTGTATTAAATGAAATAGTTTATATAGTCTTCCCTGCACTAATACCGTTAAGATTAATTATTTGGAATTTTTGATAATGGAAATTTATAGTTATTTTGACTTGTACAAAATGACCTTCTATGTGAAGTTGTATGGTTAAATTTAAATTAAATGGCATGTATTGAATACAGAATTGGCTTTTAATTAACATTTCTAAAATTAGCATTATGTACTCCTATTTTAAGAGTAAACATCTACCTTATCTATGCAAACTTGACATTAGCTACTCCCTATGCGTTTCTGACTATATTAGGTACTACTTAGGTAGAAAGTTTAGTAATGAAATTAAGCATGTTTAATGTTTCACTTTAAATAGTTATATTTCTGAATTAACTTATATTAAAAGATCTCTAAATTTGTCATTTTTTTTTTCACTGCACACTTATCAAATAAAGGAAAGTGAGATATTGACCATCAGATTGTGTGCTTGTCCAGGGCAGGGATCTTGAATCATACTTTGTACCTCTTAACTTGGAATCTAATACATAGTTGGTATTAAAATTAAGTTTATTCAATTTGCTGCATTAAGAAATTATGATAATTTGGATTATCATGTTTAGTTATAACCAGCTAGCCTTGATATAAGACTTGAGTAAATCCTTCACCAGCTAAATAAATAAATCCCTGCTGCTCTTCACTCTGGAATGTATTATACAGAGCAGGCCACATGAGAACAGCTCTGTCACATGTAAATACCTATCATTTGGAGGGTCTTCTCCAGGATGTCATTTGAGGCTCATGTTTCAAACCATTGTTTTCTCTGCCTTTATCATTAGAATCAAATGGTGTAGTTGTCTCTGAGGATCAGCATCCCTGAAGCCTTGTGTTCTAAGTTTCAGCTGCTCTGGAGGATGAGGTCTTCTTAATGAGTTTCCCCCCAGGCCTCTCATGCCCCGACTTCACTATGCTTTTTAAAATAAATCTCATCATGACCTCTCTCTTTAAAACTCTTCAATGGCTTTGACCTATTCTACTGGTAGTGCTCTTGTCAAAGTCACTAGTGACCTCTGTATTCCTGAATCCAATGGCCAGTTCTCAGACCACATCTCACTTCACATATAGGCAGCATTTGAGAGTGTTAACACCTCTTGTTACACTTTCTTCACTCATTTCCAGGATGTCTACACTCTTTAATTTTTTTCCTACTTCATTGATCTTTCTTACTCTCTGTCAATGGTTTTCCCTCTTCTCCCCAACCCAACTTCCTGTTCCAGTGCCCCTGGATTCAGTCCTCACCCTCTGTTTACATTTACTCTCTTGATTATTGATTCTGGCTTATGGATTTAAATATTATCACTGTCTTAATCCAGCTTACATTTCCAGCTCAGACTTCTCTCCTAAACTCTAGACTTGTACATCAGCTTACTTACTTGACATTTCTATGTGGACATCTTAAATACAATATGTCCAAAGTCTAACTCTGGTCTTCTTGAAATTCAGTTTCTTCCTGCCAGCTGCCCCATTTTAGTTGTTAGCAACTTGTGTTTATAATTGCTTAGAACAAAAACTCATAAACCAGCTTTGATTTTTCTTTCTCTTTATTCAGTCCATCAGGAAGATGATGTTGGTACAATCTAAAATAGATTGAGAGCCTGAATACTTCTTGGTACCTCCAGTGCCATTACCCTAGTGCAAGCCACAGTTATCTCAAATTCAGATTATTATAGTAGTCTACTTGATCTCCCTTTTTCTGACTTGTCCTCTTTACAGTTTGTTGTCAAATTAGTGGCCAGAGTAGTACTTATAAATTGTAAGTAACATGTTAATCATGTTACCCCTCTGCCAAAAATACCCCATCTTTCCTAGATTAAAACCTTTTCCAGATACTTTATAGTATCTGGTGTCTGAATTCCCTGGCCTTACTGCCTATTTCTCTTTTCCTTGTTCACTCTGCTCCAACCAGATAGGTCTGACCACTGTTTTGAAATATAACCCAAGGCTCTGTCATGTTATCCCCTATGTATAGAGTATATCCTCTACCTGGAGCTTCTCCCTACCCAGTAGTTATAGGGATCAGCCTCTCCCCTTCTTTCAAGTCTTTACTAAAATGTCACCTTCTCAGTGAGGCCCGCCTGACCTGTACTAAAGTTACAGCCTATGCTTTATACCCCTCTCCATTCTTCATCCTTCTCACCCAGTTCTACTTTTCCCCATAGTACTTATTACCATTTGATGTGCTGTGCTATTGTTATGTTAATTTATTGTTTTATCACTATTATTGGTTTAATCTTTTGTTCACCTAGAACAGGGCCTAGCATATAGTACATTCAGTAAATCTTTGTTGAATAAAATGAATTAATGTATGAGTGGCTTCCCATTGATTTTAGAATAACCGATTATTCTTCACGCAGCCTTTAAGGCCCCACAAGATTGGGTTTCTGGTTACATTGCCAGACCTATCTCCTGCTGCATTTCCTCTTCTGTCTTTCCTGCCAGCCTACTTATCTCTTTTTAGGTCTATCCAATCTACTATGTGCTTTTCCATCACAGGATGGAGTAGTCCCTCTGCCTGCAATATCTGTCCCCCTCTCCTACACCCATTCCGCTTGCCTTGTCAAGTCCTACTTATTCTTCCCATCTGAGTTCCAATGTTATTTCAAGAAAGCCTTTACTCATCATCCTTTTCTTCCACAAAGACCCAGAGTTATGTGCTTTCATAGCACCCTGACATCTTCTGGCATGTAAGTTCTAAGAAGGCTGAGACCAAGTATGTCTTCTTTACTGTAAAAGCTTCAGCATTGAGTCTTGTACTGACTCATACAGGTACTCAATAAGTCTTTGTGGAAAGATAAATAATGGTATGAGGCATAAACCTAAATTATTAACCCAGTTTTACAGATGAAAAATACAAGGTCCCAGAAAGGTTTTCTAATTTGCTCAAGGGATCTGGACAAATGCCATAATGAAGGCATAAATTATTCCTGTTTCATATGTTGAAGTGGGAGAAAAAAATTGGTAAAAAAAAAAAAAATAGGTAGCTTGTCTCAGGCAGACAACAAATTATAAAACTGCAAAACATATGTATTTCAGTAGAAACTAAATTTGTGTGGATTTTATGAATTTGATGGACATTTTTTGATTAACATTCAGCATAACTCAGAGAAAGTGATTTTAAATATGATGTAGACATGAAGCGTCAGTTTAAATTTAATAGGCCACTGGACAAAATATTACTATAGAATTTATTTAGCATTTGTGACACATAGGATCAGTCTGTGTCAAATGTTATTAAAGTAGTTTTTTCTTTGTCAGAATATCACCATAAGGTATTGTCATACTTCTTTTAATCTTAGAAGTGAAGCCTTTTGGAAACTGGGGCTTCTATAGATAAGAAAGTTGAATTACAAAGCTTTCTTTGTTGAGGGTAGGGAATCTTTCATATCTAAAAATGCTCATTCAAAAATGCCCTACATGTGTAGTTCTTTATGTTTGAAGAGAACAGTGCTGATTCAGTGAGATTTTTGACATAAATTAGGGATCTTTTTAAAGACTGATTTCATTTATCCTGGCATTCTTTCAGCTCTATTTACAAAGACTCTTGTGCATTGGAAAAAAATACTGTAGGACCAATCAGTGCAAGATGCAAGAGAGATGGATTGACAGTGGTTTAAGTTGGCCTCATTTTAGGCATCTCACTTTGCTTTGTAGATCAGAACTGTGGTTGCTTCCCTAGCTTTTCCCATAAATATGGTCAAATCAGATTCTTAGAAAATTTTCTAGGGTCAGAGCCTATTATCTCCGATTTCTTACATTGCCCTATTCTATTGATAGCTTTCTAGAGCAACTTGCAAGCTTACTTCTTTGTAGAAAGTGAATTTGAGATAAAAATGTTCCTGTGTTTAAGTAAATCAGGAATGTTGAAAGGCAGTTCACCATAGGAATTATAAACTTCTGGTCTTTACACATAAACTATACAAAAATCTGTTGTTACTTTAAAATATTAAATTTGCTAAGCCTGCTAAGTTGGAATAATGGCAAATAGCATGAATTTTAGATCAGTTGCCTTCCCTTAAGTCTTAGCCACATTTTGGCCTGTACTGTTAGCTTTGTAGGAAAGATTCACAGATAAATGAAGACTTCTCTATTTCCTGTCTAAAGTCTCACATCAGAAAAAGGTTGCTAAGTTGCTTGCTTTAGAAAGTTATGATACTAAAATATAACTGAGAGATTGAGCATGAGTTCAAAACCTAAGAGGAAAAGCAGTAAGTGCACAGATCCGAAGAGATAATGTAAAATCAGTTATTTTTTTTAAGCAGTTATAGACTTCAGCTATCAAAAGTGCCATATGGACTGGTTTTTCTACCAGTATTTTGAATCAGATGAAGCTAGTGATAGGGAATAAAAGCTATCAGTTCTTAGTGAGCATTAAATTAAAAGAATATTCATTTAGCCAAAGGTATTATAAATGAAAATATATTTCTCCATGGATCTCAGCATAGACATATTTAAAATCATATGAACTAGCTATGACTCGTCAAACCTTTAGTTTTAGTTGTCATAATTAGAATTGTTTTTCTTGATCTATTGTTTTTTATTAAGTTGTTTAGTACAGTTAAAACTGTCAGTGAATAGAAATAATTGCCACATGCTTTTATGTGGTTGCCGTGATGGGAATCTATAGTTCAATTTTATATGTCTCTGTTGAATGCAGTGCTATCTATACATTTTCTTGCCACCTAATAAAAATAGTAAATAAAAAAATATTAGTTTTAAAATTTTTGTAAAAATTTCTCCAGTGCCACAAATGGGACTTTAAAAGGCAACATTTGTTGTTAGTTTGATTTGGTTTCCATTAATCTTTTTGCTTTGATAATGAGGTTATGACTCATGGGTAGTGCAGTTCCATATATTACTGAAATGCTAAAAGCTTCAGCTTATTGATGGTGTGTGACTGTGTTTGTTTATATGCACATATAAATAGTTGAACATTTGAATGTATATTTTCCCCCTCTTGTTCTAGTTGGACTGATCCAGAGGTTTCTTGTACTTCAGATTTATGTACCCCTGGGACAAGACTTCTCCACCGAATTACTGTAAGATATACAGAACTTCTTTGAATGTTTTATGTGTGTTGGACATTTGATCAATTGAAGCAGTACCAACAGTCATTAACTCCAAGTGGCAGTTTTTGCATTAAAGAATAGTGACTTATCAAGTCAACATGAAGTAATTAAACTAATTTAATCGTATTTCTTAAATATCACTATAGTCTGGCATTTCCCCAGGGAAAGAAAGAAAATTTCATCTGTTTAAGAAAATATCAAAGGATTATGATTTTGACAATAAATGACCTATAACTTGAAGAAATACCTAAAAGTTTGAAATTTTTGGTTCAAATAAAGGGTGGGTGATGTTACATTTCATACTGTGTTCTATTCACAACTCTAGTTGTTTAAAATTGATTGAAATGCCTTATTTTAATATTTACCTTGTTTAGAAGTATTGGTCCTTCCTGTTCACATATAGACAGCTTGAAATACATTTGTTTTAAATGGGTTTGCTAGATTGTTTAGCAAAAATGAAAACTATACAACTTTTACTCAGTTGAGCTATCTGTTGGATGAGATGGTACTGGAATGAAAATAACATTCGATTTGCATACTCACAGAAATTGAATATTGCTTAAGATTTTATTAATAAATTCGTATACTTTCAATAAACGATTACATTTAAGATATGGTATTTTCTAATTTTTCTCTGTGATTAATAGCTATCCAAAGTCTAAGCTTAGGCTTTTATTTTTCATGCTGGAATAAATTATTTTTCTTGTTAATGAGGAGAATTTTGGAGTGGTTTTACTGGTACAAAATAATAGGAAGGAAGAGCTCTTCTTTTAACAAAATGGGAATAACATAACTTTGAAGTGTTCATTTCTCTTATGTTCATATTAATGATTGGTCTCTATGTTGTTAATATTAATGTATGAATTTTAGCTAATAATATACATTCTTGGTTTCTTGGGTAGTAATGGAAAGATGGAACAATTTATACCTTTGTTAAACCTTTGTTTTATTCAGCCTTAAACATCAGTAAACTTCTTACTAAAATCTTCTTTTATCATCTGCCATGGTCACTGAGATTCTTTAAGCTGGTTCTTAGAGTAACAACACCAAAGCATTATTTGATGTTCTTATGTACTACTTTCTGGTTCTATGGAAAAAGCATTCAAGACTCCAAAGACAGATGTATAGGAAAGATCATAGCCATAAAGCTTTATTGTGTAGGCAAAGTTGTTTTCTATCAAATGGAAGAAGACAAATTATATTTTATTTTTAAACTTTTTAAGCTTCTTACATAGAAATCCAGTCGCACCTCTCTTCTCTCCCATTTTCCTGAACCTTCTATGGCTATGCTTTGAGATCCTTCAGAAGGAACAGTGGGGGCACTTGGTTGGCCTTTCATTGAAGCTGTTCAAGACACGTGGCCGAACCTTGGAACAGAATCTTTTGCCATGGAGTCCTCTTTTTCTTTGCAAAATTCAGCTTTATTTGTGTCTTCAAACACTTGAGCTTATCACCCTGGCCTAGGCATTATACTGTTTTTAACTGATTTAATAACAATTAAAGCTTTAATCATTGCAAAATCAATAAGCATCTTAGGTTTAGTTTAGTCCTAGCAGGAAAGCAGTCATATCTAAATAAATCTGACTGCCTCTTTGGTACTGTATTGCTAAAGCTTTTAGCCTTTTTAAGGATTGGAAAACATTTTGCAGGATTAATTAGGAATTAATGATTAGATTGCAAATTCAGTTAACTGTAATCATAGATTTTCTTGTTCTCTTATCCATGTGGCAAATATTTGGATTTTCCAGATGGCTTTAGTTTTATAATTTTAGAAAAATAAATGTCTTATTTGTCAGGTTCTGCGTCTTGGTGAACTGTTGTCCTGGTTCTTTGGCTCCTTGCTTGGAAATATTAAGCAGGGCCAGTGTGATGGAGTGATTGCAGTCAGGAAGCAATGCCACATAAACAGCTTTTATTGCAGAAAAGAAGGAAGCTGTACAAAGTGAAAATTTGTTTTAGAGAGAGGAAGGCTCAGTTTCCATGAGTGGAGAAAGATATTAAGGGCTCCCAGGTGGTCTGGGGGGAGGGTTTATGGGAAGTGTGAGATGTTGCTAGATGATTGACAGGTGTTCTGTGGTTTCCCGCAGTTCCTTCCCCTGATGGTCTCCAGCTTCTCCATCCCTAGGAACTGCCCTCTTGGCCTGTATCTGCCACCTGCAGATTTTGTGCTTGCCTAACATAGATAAAAAGTGGAAATTAAATTAACATGTGGAAGACAATCTCTGTCTTGACCTTATGAATCTATGAAATTATAAGAAAATATATTAACTCTGTATTTGAATTTGTTGCTAATATGTAATCAAAATATTGTGCTGTTTTAGGAAGTAATGACAGAAATGATGTTTTTACAGGAAGGAAAGCAGAATAATAAGTATAGATTCTCTTTCTGTTGTTTTTTTTCTTCTGCCTGAAATAAAAGGGCTTGCTTTCAGCACCCTCAGTGTTCTACTGCTTTTCTAGCAGCATAGCTCTAGGCTACTTTAAATAATACATTTCTCTAAAGCTTGGAAAGTCACATAACAGAAAGATATCTGGCATCTAAAATTTTCTATTGTCAGAATGGGAAGGCGTTTTGTTTCACAAAGATACATTTATACATCAGGAGGTTTCATAAGTGGAGCCTTGGCAGCTGGTTTATGAATTTAGTAGTAATTTCTTCAGTGTTTTCCTATGTCTCCCATGCCCACTATATGACTATACTGCTCAGAAGGAGGTTATGCATATGGATTAGTAGCGAATGCCTTAGAACCAACAATACTGCTTGGGGAATTATTCATTCAGTCAACAAATTATTGAATCCTATTATTGTTAGGCAGTGTGTTAGGCATGGAAGATGTGATATATCTTGAATCTGTACATTTCTCCCCACCCTCACTGCTATCCTACTTGTCCCAAACCACTGTCACATTTCCTCTGACCCACTGTTAGAGCTTCCTGTGGACTTCCCAGCTTCCTCTCTTGTCCTCCTCCACTCTAGTCTCCACACTGCAGTTAGAATGATCTTTCTAGAAAACAACTGAAATTCCCATTAAACTGAGGATGAAATTCCAGATCTATAATACTGTCTGTGCTATGCTCTTTCACCTCTACCTTCTCATCTCATGCCACTCTCCTGTGAGGTCACGATTGTCTGCCATGCCAGCTCTTTGCCTTCCTCATGTGCCGAGTAAGGTCGCTTCTTAGGATCCTGTGCTCAAGTGCTTTTGTCCCCCAGTCTTTGCCTGGATAACCTAACTCCTACTCAGTCTCTTCAGCTAAGCTGAAGTACCCTTTCTTTAGAAAGGCCTTTTTGATTTTCCCCCAACTAAGTGAGATTCATCTCTTCTGCCATTTCCTAGCACCCTCTTCTTTTCCTTTGTCACAGTTGTAATAGTTTATATATATTTATTTGATTATCTGTGTTTGGGAGTAGATTTGAGTTCCATGAGGACAGGGACCCCCTTTTTTCTACTCAGCTTGATATCTCAGTACCAAGCACAAGGCCTGGCACATAACAGGCTCTAAAATGTGGACTTGTGGGCAGAGGTTGGGTGGACCAACAAAAATGAAGGGATGAAAAGCATCCAATTTCTGTTCCCAGAGGGGAAACATTCATTAAAAGGCAATTCAATTTGAATACAGTTTGATAGAATGTTGACATATAAAAATAAGATCTGTGAAAGATTAGGTAGAAGTAAGAGTATAGCCTTGGAACTAGAGAGATATGCAGTCAAAACAGCTTTACCTCTATGGACCTTGGGTAAATTGCTTAACTTACCTATGGAGTGAGAGTGACAGTACTTACCTCACTTGTGTCATAAGCATTAAATGATAAAATTAATGTAAAGTAATAATCATGATTCACATTAAGTACTTGATATACTAGACATTATTCTCATTATTCTAAGCACTTTGTTTTAGCTCAATTAATTCTCAGAATTAGCCTGTGTGGTAGTCAGAGTTATTAGCCATATTTTATCACTGAACAAACTGAAGTCCAGAAATGTTGAGGAATTTGTCACAGGTTAGACATGCTAACCAAAACCAGAATTCAAACGTGTGGTCTAGCATCTAAGCTCTGTACCCTTGTGCCATACTGCCTTACTTTTAAATATTATTTTTCTTTCTAACTACACATATATAAGTAGTGGATATGTAGTAAATATTTTATTTGAATCTTAGTATAAGCTAAGCCTTTTATATCTTCTTTAGGGGCTTCTCATAATATAGTTTTATCATGAGAGTTCCAAGAAGGAAAGGGCTTTCATGTTGAGAAATTTTTATCTTTACCCTTTTGAGAGATAAATGCCTTAGAGTTAAAGAATTTTACTCATATTTTTTTTGTGATAATATTCATATTAGACTTTTAAAAATGAAAACGAAAAAACCTCTTTACTTCTTCTTTATTGATTCCTGTGTAGGCCTCTTTTTACTTTAACATCTAAAAATTATATTACTGAGAATCTTCTACCTCTGAATAAGATGGTTTCAGAACTTCATGATCTGACCAGCAATTATCCAAACACATTACATTTTGCATGTGGAGCAAAGGAAGTGTTTACTGTACTGACATATAGTATATTTAGCAATGAAGTAACAGAATTCTCTTGCATTTCTCTTTCAGTGTCAAAGTGTTAATTGTGTGGCAGTTAAAATAGAAGAGTTCCCATTACCATGTACTGATGAGGAAATGGAAACACAGAATTAAAGTGCTGAGCCCAAAGCCGTGTAACTAGAGGGTAGAGCAAAAGGGGGAGACAGAAACTCTGGAGTGAACATCATAAATCCTAGGTTGAATTCCAGGTTAAAATCATTAAACTCCATACATACAGTTTAAAATTTAGACTATTGCAATGCAGAGATCACAAAGGACCACTTAAAATTTGTATGGACCAGGTGTATTCATGGGGGATTTCTCTCTTTTTTAAAGAATTGAACTTTTGTTTCCAACCTTTATTAGAGTCTAGAACCTAAGTAGTACTGCAAACAGT